AATTGATAAGGGTGGGACTGTTTCAAACTTTTAATGTTAGTAATCAACTTTATCAAAACTGAAACGGTATGTTCTGCTGGACAGATAGATGCTACTGTGACTGGTGACATTAAGGAGACAGGCCCTTTTGCTAGACGTGTTTTAACCTTTAATGGGAAGTCCAGTTCTGTTTTTTCCTGCTAATTTGTCTTCAGCACACTTAAAACAAAAAAGTCTCAAAGCTACCTACTTCCTGTAAAGCTCCACACTGCAATAAACTCAATAAATTGGTTTCACTGGATTGGGAAAGTTAGAAATCTGTCTTTGACTTTCAGCATGGAGGGCTTAGAAAAATGCTGATCAACCATTTAATGCTGCTGCTGCAACTCCAGTGCAGAAAACTTCAAGACTCTTATTCTGAACAAAATAAAAGGTTATCAGGTCTGTGTGAAAGATTACTGACTTTAAAATCTTTTCATTGTTGTTTGCCTAAATTAATAATAAACACCACCACAACAGTGAAAGACCTGTAAGACAATGTGGGTCTAGAAAAGGATTAGAGGACATAATTTGTCAAATGCTATATTCACGTTAGCTTTCTATGGGGAAAAAATAAATTATGTACAGTTTCAGTATTTTTTATATTCCTACAACATGTCATTTTATGTTTTGTAAATCAAAACTTTAGTTTGTAGTGGCTTTTTAATGTACAAGTTAGTGTATGCCAGCCATACTGGGAGGCTGAGATCACCTCAGGTCTCCCACGATGGAACAGGGTTTTAAAAACTTAGAGTTAAAAGTAGGTTTATGGTAGGATTCAAAGAAAATAAATCCTTTGTTATTCAAGTGACTTCTGGGGGGTTGGCACATTGTTAAAACTGCTCAAGAAGCAGACTCACAAGCAAAGTCATAAATCTTAACAAGCTGTCAGAATTGCCCAAAAGGAAGGTTTTACTGCATTTATAATTTACTGCTACTCTTTCAAACCCTGTCTGTGAAGTCAGGGGACTTGCACATGTATGGGATTTGGAAGAACTGCAGCTTAGGAACCTTCTTACTTTAACTTTTTTATCTTTTTTTATACACTTGTCTTTAGTAGTTTAGAATTAGTCATCTTCTGTATATAAACTGAATTTCCTAGTGCCATACAGCTCCCACTATTTTTGTCTAAATAATTTGTGAAATATTGACCAATTAAGCCTTGTAGGATAAAATATCTAGGTCTAAGAAAGAAAATAACATCTCTTTATTTGAGCACAGTGCTGATCACACATTAGCAAGCTGCCAGGTAAGGCAATGAATGCATATGAAACTTTATTTAATGAGTATCAATGCCATAGTCAACAAGCTCTTTAGTGTGTACAACTATAGGAAGGATGAATCATGTGCAAGGTTTAACCCTCTGTTCTATTCATTGCCCCATATTCAAGGTTCCTTTTTATTTGAAACCACTGCTGCTAAGGTTTTAGGTCCAATATTAACACAGTAATGTCACATCACTAAAGACTTGCATAAAGGTGTTCAAGACTAAGCAAAAACAAACCACTGTGCCCCCAAAACAGTCCAAACATTTAATAATGTGCAAAATAAGGGATTTAGAAGTGTTTGAGCAATGAAAATGTCCTCCAGAGATATGTGGAGGATAAGACCTCAACAACAGCAAGCCTTAGATTCAGTTTTAGAGCCACTGTGTGTGCAAGTGTACACAGCCAGAAATACATACGAGAAAGAATGTTCAGAATAAGACTTCACATTTAAAAAAAAAAGGGATATTTAAACCCCACTCCCTCCATGCCATAGCTGTAGAAGAGGGACATATCAGTTTAAAACTAAAAAGGGAAAATGCTTCATAAACCTTTTAGATCTGTAGTTGAACTAATACATTTGGGAATAAATTAAGACTGAGAGAAACAGAAGTGTTCACCTGGGCTGTACTTACTAGGTAACTCTCCCGTGATGAGGCTTATCTGTCATCTACAACAAAGTAACACTTTTGCTGTTAATGAAGACAGCCCCTAGCTCAGAAAGTAAAGGCAGTTAAAAGCAAAAAAGCAATTTTATACATTACATTAACAAACCAGGGATAAGGAGTTTGCCAGTTCTGAGATCAGCTCAGTTGGGGGTTTCACAGGGTGACGTCACCCGCTTAATCTCTCCCTGTGTGTCCCACCATCCCCCTCCCCGCTTTGTGAAACATGATCACCGGCCAAAAAAAGAGCTTAAAAGTCAAGACAACAGTAAAATTCTGGCTTATCTAAGCAGCCTTCCCATTGTTCAGTTCTATGAAAAACTCAGTCTAAGGTGACTACCAGCTAGCCCTTTACACACTGCAGAACCATAGAAAGGGTTAATTCTTAACACATATACATACACAAGAAGTTAGGTAATGTCTTTAAGAAAAAAAAAAAACAACTGGTGACTGTGTTAGTTTTCCCACATACAGTGGTGACTATGCCAGCTAATAACACAAACATTAGTATTTTCTCTGACAAAAAATAGATAAATGCTTATGAGAGCTTCTAATGGGTATGAAAATACAGTGTGCCATGGCACAGACATTTAAAGTCATCCAGAAGCAACCTATTTGCTCTATTGTAAAGCAAGATGCTTTTTCTAAAGCCAACACATCTATTTTGCATTAATACATCTGCTGAAACTAGCCTGAGAGCCTCAGTTTTGCAGACACTTAAATGTTTAGTTTCATGCACTAGAAGCTGTTCCACTTTAAAAACCGAAAACCCCACACATGCTTAACTTTAGTCTGAGCATAGAATTTTAGCAGTTTTGCTGGCTTCAGTGAAATGACCCATCACCTTAAGTTAAGCATGTAAAACTTGGCAGCATATGGGTGAGAGAAAAAGACAGCTGGGCCTGTACCACTGTAAAAAAAAAAAAAAGTGCTAGTCTAGATAATACTAGTCCCACAAACATATACTACAATTCAGCCCAATTAATTAACAGTCAAATTTACCATACTCTGCAAAACGTGCAGTTTTTACTATTTGAGCAGCTTGCACTTGACTGGCAAGGACTAATATCCACTAGCTAGGAAAATCTGTATTGAATTAACCATGTGCTAGAATACAGAATATGGTGATGACCTCGGTAACACTATCAGCCCTTTGCATATCTAAATTCAGCAAGGTAGAGGCACTCCAAATATAGCTCTAGTGCGTGGCATGCTGTCTGCTGCAGTCAAGTGATCTGGTGTATTACTTCAGAAGGGAATATATATATATTGGCATCCCTTCTTCTATTCTTCTAGTGCAAGACTTTGGATAAGGCTGCCAAAAAGTGACTGAAATTGTCATCCCATTCTGACAAATTGACTTGGACCCCTGGGAGCCCTTGCTGAAGGGCCCTCCAGGAGATTTAAAATCTTATCTTTGAACAGGTCTTAGCTACCCTTAGTATGCATATCAGATACAGCTAACAGACCATCAGAAAATCAATTTTAACTCTGAAAGTTATAAAAATATATAATAATAGTTAAAGGGAGGAAAAAGCCCCCAGACAAGCTTCATGCTGTGGATTGTTATCCATTTACACCCTTTGGCTAGCATACAAATTAATGTTTGGAGTAAGTAGCAGAGCTTGAAGGGGAAACTCAACAGAAATTTTCAACCTAGTAACAAAGTAGGGTTGAGTTACAAACGCAGGGAGAGGCAGTTCTAGCAGTTAGTGATGAACAGCTGCAGAGGGGCAAGCTCAGAACAAGATGAAGTTAAACGTAAGATCGGATTTTCAAATACGACATTGCTACTGCACTGATGAATTTGTAGTTTAAGCCAGCGTTTGTCATGTTACTGGGTTGAATCATACATACAAACAATTTTCTCACTTCTGAAAAGCTGGAGACTGCAAATCTATAAACAGTGGTCGAGGAAGCTTGCTCCCAGCTTTCCAGCACAGATTTATGGTCCTATAGCACCTGGGGACTTTTTTCCTCCCTCATTCCTTAGAAAAGCTTAACGTTTTCTACCTAGAGACAAAGGTATTTCATAATCAACCCACCTTAACAGTGTCAAATGGGTGTCCTACCAGCACTCCAGCAGCACCTGAAACAAAACAAATGCCATGGTTGGGCCTCGGTTTTCCTCCCAGGTCTGGGGCGACAGGAGCCAAAGCATGACCCCCAGCCTGAGGTGTGAGTGCACAGCGCTATTGGAAGGCGAGATAAAAAGCATCCTATCAAGTTAGAAGATAAAAAATGACACTTCAGTCCTTCAGGCCTGTACTAGGTGCCTTTATGCTCCCATGAAGCTTCTGAACTCCAGCCAGAGGTTGAAGTGTGTGACTACAGAGCATGCCACGTCATACGGGATGTTCAGCAGCAATTCCTGGCCTCAGCCCAAGGCAAGTCTGGTGGGCAGAAATTCCAGATTTCCTCCAAAGCTCAATATTTCATATACTTGCCACTCTGTGGAAGCCTAGAAAAAACTGGAAGCTTTTCTACAGGAAGGAGAAAATCCCTGCTCTCTGCCTGCAGCCTTTCCAGATGTGATGGCAGCACCTGCAGAAGCACCATCCACTACCAAAAACCTTCGCTTTATTCTAATGTCAAAGGACCCTTTAGAAGTTACCTTCAGGCCTATTAGTTATACTGCCTAAGCCAGATTCATGCATTTTGCATCGAAAAACACAAATACTGGCTGATGCAAGGGACCCTCTACCTCCCTAATTCTGTGAACGAAAACTGGAAGTTCAATCCGTTTTTGACCTTCTCACATTTTCAGAAAGATTATGTCCCTCCCTCTGCCCAAGATGTGGCAGAAATACAGAGCTCACTCTGGGATGGAGTAGTCCAGGGTGGTCAAGACCAGCACAGGGGCAAGATAATCCAAGTCCCAAAAGCCGTGATGGGCACTGTGCTCAGCATGAACACACCCTTGGTGCAACTGACCACGCGAGATCCCTGGCAAGGCAAGGATCACTAGGATGAGGTCACAGAGAAGCTGAAAAAAACAACAACAAAAAAAAATATCTTTGCCAGCTTGGCAAGGAAAATAACAAATGCAAATAACTGAAAAGATGCGAGAATAAATCTTCTGAGCACAACTTAACAACTGCTGAAAATAGAGGAAGGCAGGCCCTAAGCAGATGCACAAGGCAGAGCAAGACCAGCGCTTACACTCCCTCCTCCTCCTCTTCCCGTTAGACCTCTCCGGTGCCACTGTTTTCGGGTCGGGAGGGTTCCTGAGCCTCCTGCTGCCTGTGTGCTGACCCCGGGAGAGCTCCCACCCCCCCGCCG